GTCCTACTGTCCTCCCCAAAGCATGGTCAGGTCTGCCACAGCAATACCCTACTAAGCTGGTACCAATTAATCTAATCAGGATTTCTATTGCTGCAAGGAAACACTATGACCAAAAAGAAAATTGTGTAGGGAAGGGTTTTATCAGCTTAGACTTCCACATAGCTGTTCATCACCAAAGACAGGAAAGGAACACAAATAGCAGGAACCTGGAAGCAGGAGTTGATGTAGAGGCCACAGAAGGGTGCTGCTCTTCATGGCTTGCTTAGTCAGCTTTCCTATAGAACCCCAGACTTCTAGCCCAGAGATGGTAACATCTACAGTTGGCTGGGCCTTCCCACATTGATCACTAATGGAGAAAATGCCTTACAGCTGGATCTCACAGAGACATGTGCCCAACTGAGGCTCCTTTCTCTCTGAAGACTCAAGTTTGGGTCAAGTTGACACAAAACACCAGCCAGTTACAGCATCCTCCATCTTACATACTGAGGCCCTCTTCCCATGCCTGTATTAAGAGGTAGACTCCTCCACCCATTGCTGCATGCCCCCTAAACAGGCCTGCTCACCTGGAAGCCCTTCCCCGAATGGGATGGGCTTTTTTGTGGGGGAGGGTAGTGTTTGAGACAGGATTTCTCTGTGTATTTTTGGCTGTCCTTGACTATTCACTCACTTTGTAGATCAGGCTGTCCTCTAGCTCACAGATTCACCGCCTCCCCAAGTGCTGGAATTACAGGCTCCAACTTACCCAGCAATAGTTGGGTCTTTAATAGCCAAAGATTTTCTAATGGTCTTCTTCCAGAATTGGCTGCCATGCCCGTTGACACTACTCTCACTAAGACAGGGAAACAAGTGTTAAACGTGTGTTTGGACCTCCCTGTTCTGTCCCAGGAGGGCTCAAACACCTGTCCCTATTGCCTTCACTTGAGATTCTAATCCTGAACAACTATACACTTTTCAAATCCAAATTTTAACATTTGTTTTCTTTTCTTCTATATATCATTTAAACAAATCATTGGTTTTAATCGGGAGAGAGAAAAAAGGAATATTCTGTGTGCCAAATTGGGCTTCTGTCATTCCTGGATATTGGCTAACGAGTGACTGAGTTTCTTTGGGGGTCATAAGATACCACGTTTGGACCAGATGGCAGGATATTCAAACCAGCAAGAAACTGCAGCACTTATTACTGTGCATGACTGAAGGCTGCAATGACTAGTTCAAGACTCTTGAGGCCCTTAAGGACCATTAGAGTCACAGGTCCCTTAATCAACGACTGACTTCTAGTCCCAAGGGATGAGGATTAGCTTTTTGCTTATTAACATGAACTCCTAGATGAAACCAATGACAAATATATCATCAATAAATGCCAAATATTAGGGATATGGTAAGTTCAAGAGCACCTTGATGACACACTCCATGACCTTTCACTTAGTATCATTGACATGTGGCTACAGCACCCAGATCACTGGCTAGGGAAAGGCTCCATCTGCTCTTCTTCTTAGACAGAAATAGCAGAGTATGAAATGCTGGGATGACTCAATGGGTGAGAGTTTACCACTCAAGTCCACAAACGTTAGTGTGATCCCTAGAACCTCCTGTGAAAAGAGAAACTGATAGCTGAAAGGCATCCTTTGACATCTACATGGTTACTAAGGGCCTACGTACACACACACTTCACATATAGTCATACACAGACTAACATAAACACATTCATATGCACATACACACTCACATGCTCTCATAAACACACAGTCACACAAGTCACACTCACAAACACTCAATGACAATCAATGAAAAGCACATACTGAAAACAAGGCTGTGAAGCTTTAAGTCTCCCAAGGGTCTCGAGATGGCTGAGAGTGGGAAGAGCTTTTTGAAGCTAGTGCTGACTTCAAGAGTAGAGAACTGTTTTTAATTGCTGAGTAGTATTCCATTGTGTAAATGTACCACAATTTCTGTATCCATTCCTTAACTGAGGGACATCTGGGTTATTCTCAGGTTCTGGATATTATGAATAAGGCTGCTACAAACATGTCCAGGCTGAACAAATGTCCATGTTGTATATTTTGGATATATGCCTAGGAGTGGTATAGCTGGGTCTTAAGTTGGCACTATTCCCAATTGTCTAAGAAAAAGCAAGATTGATTTCCAAAGTTACAAGTTTACGTTCCCACCAGCAATGGAGTAGGATTTCTCTTTTTCCACATCCTCTCCAGCATGTGTTGTCACTTGAGTTTTTGAGCTTAGCCATTCTCATGGGTGTAAGGTTAAATCTCAGGGTTGTTTTGATATGCATTTCCCTGATGACTAAAGATGTTGAGCATTTCTTTAAGTATTTCTCTGCCATTCTATGTTTCTCTATTGAGAATTCTCTGTTTAGCTCTATACTCCATTTTTTGATTGGGTTACTTGATTTGTTGCTGTTTATCTTCTTAAGTACTTTATATATTCTGGATATTAGCCCTCTGTCAGATATAGGGTTGTTGAAGATCCTTTCCCAATCTGTAGACTGTTGTTTTGTTTTGATAACAGTGTCCTTTGCTTTACAGAAGCTTTTCAGTTTCATGAGGTCCCATTTATTGATTGTTGATCTTAGAGCCTGTGCTTTTGCTGTTCTGTTTAGGAAGTTGTCTCCTGTGCCGATGAGTTCAAGGTTATTCCCCACTTCTTCTTCTAACATGTTTAAGCGTGTTTATTTTTATATTGAGGTCTTTGATCCACTTGGATTGTAGTTTCATGCGGGGTGATAAATATGGATCTATTTGCATTTTTCTACATGTAGACATCCAGTTAGTCCAGCACCATTTGTTAAAAATGATATCTTTTTTCCATTGTATGGTTTTGGCATCTTTGACAAAAAAAGCAGGTGTCCATAAGTATGTGGGTTTATTTCTGGGTCTTTTATTTGATTCTGTTTATATGCCAATACCATGTAGTTTTTATTAATGTTGCTCTGAAAGACTCCACCCACCAGGATATCAAAACATATGCTGAAATTCATAGCCAAACTTTAGGCAGAATGCAGGGAATCTTATGAAAGAAGGGGAGATAGAAAGAACTGGAGGGAACAGGAGCTCCACAAGGAGAGCAACAGAACCAAAAAATCTGGACACGGGTGTCTTTTATGAGACTGATACTCCAAACAAGGACCATGCACGGAGATAACTTAGAACACCTGCACAGAAGTAGCCCATGGCAACTCAGTGTCCAAGAGGGTTCCCCAATAATAGGAACAAGTACTGTATCTGACATGAACTTAGTGGCTGGCTCTTTGATCACCTCCCCCTGAGGAGAAAGCAGCCTTACCCATCCTCAGAGAAAGACAAAAAAAGCCAGTCCTGAGGAGACCTGGTAGACTAGGGTCAGAAAGAATGGGAGGAGGACCTCCCCTATCAGTGGACTGGGGTAGGAGCATAGGAGAAGAAGAGGGTAGGACAGTGGGATTGGGAGATATATGGGCAAAGGATACAGCTGGGATACAAAGTGAATAAACTGTAATTAATAAAAATTTTAAAAAATTAATAAATTTTTAGAAAAAAAAGAGTAGAGAACTGAACCTTTTGTCACGAAGACACATGAAGTCGTCCTTCTTTATGGAGGACAGGACTAACTATCTTCCTTCTTGACACAGGGGGATTATTTATCATTGAGATCCAAAAGCACTGAAAATCCTCCAGTCTTATCCTATGCTATGGAGACCACACCAGCATCATCAGCCCACCTGCCTTTTGCTTTTTCATACTGTGGGATGGTTAAGCCCAGTGGCTTTACCAACCTCTGGAGGGGATTCATTTTATACCTATAAATTTTGTTTGTTGTTATTACTGTTTTTTCAAGATAGGTTTTCTCTGTATAGCCCTGGCTGTTCTGGAACTTGCTCTGTAAGCCAGTCTGGGCTCCAAACTCAGAGATCCACCTGCCTCTGTCTCCTAAGGATTGGGATTAAAGCTGTATGCCACTACAAACTTACTTTCTTTTTATTTCTTTTTAGTTATGTGTATTATTGAGTGTCTGTACAGATTAAGTGCAAGTCTTCTCAGAGACCACAGAAAATTTCAAGTCATTTGCAGCTGGAGTTACAGGTGATTATGTGTACGGGACACCAAACGCTTGTCCCCAGGAAGAGCAGTAATCTTAAACTTGGAGTCATCTTTCCAAAAGAATCTTTGTAATGTTTTGAACAGGTTCTTGTGAAGCTGAAGTGTATAAACTCTTTTTTTTTTTTTTTTTGCACATGCTAGCTATTTATTTTGAAGGACTAAACCAACTGCACTTGTGTATAAACTCTTGATGCACTGCACATGTTGTATCGTTATTGACAATGAAAAATCAGGGGGTGGGGAGGATAGGGAGAAGCAAACACAAGATTAAGGGAAGGGGGCCAGACAGTGCACTATACACAAGTATGAGATTGCCAATGAAGTCACTCAGTAAATTTAAAGGATGCAACTTGCTTTTAGACAAAACTGTTTTATTGGAACCTATAGGAAATTATAATGCTAAGGATGTGGGGAAAATAATATCCAGCTTCAGCATTTCCCCAAACAAGAAAATAAAACATCACGGCTGGACAGTGATGGCACTATAGGCCATGTAAGTCATAATACTATACATCATACTACCAGTTCATGGCATTAATCAATCCTCCATCAAAGAAACAGACATGGTCATATATTAAAGATCTTTAAGTGAGGTAGGCAACCAGAAACAGAGACAGGAAGTCCTCCTGCCCCAGTCCCTTTTGCTCTTTTCAGTGTTATTTCATTTTATTCCCTTCCCTGTGTCTATGTCTCTCATATCCTGAGTGTGCTGGTTACCATTTTCAAATCTCTTTTGCTGTGCAAGGGTGGCTCTATACTGTTGGTCTTAAGAAGAAAATAAGCCCCTCGTTCTCTATGTCAATGCTTTCTCAAATAGGAACCAATGGAACAATCCTATTTCCCAAGTCCACCCAAAAATGGTTGAATACACATGTTCTCTGTCTCTAATGAGTGACCTCTCCTTATTTACTGCCAACAGGAACACAGTGTGGCCTTCAAGTTGTACACACAGAATCTATGACAACCTAGACATCTGTTACTCACAAAGTAGATCTCTTTTGGCTGTCTCATAACCTTGAGTGTGTTCATCATAAGCTCAGAACATTGTGCAAATCTGTCTGGTAGGATATCACCAGTGTCGTCATAGACCTCAGTTGGAGCAGGGTACATCTTCCTGGTCAGCTGACTCAGGTTGGCAGTGTGCCGCAGCAGCTTCCTCAGGCTGCTCAGAGACAGGAAGTTCTTCTGAAAATTGACCTCCATGAATTGGGAGCACTGGCTCAGGGCAGGCAGGAGGACACTGATTTGGAAGTCCATGATCAAACAGTTCTCCAATCTTAATGTTTGCAGCGTAGCTATCAGTCTTTCTAGCAATCTTCATAGAAGTAAATGACTTAAATTTAAAAAGGGGACACCACTCAGGTCCAGGTGTGTAAGCTGATGGACACTTGGAGACTGAGACAGATAACCCATGTCTGACTGTGACAGCATGCAATGAGTGATTGCAAGGGTTTTTAAGGGATCCTGTAAGTACCTAGAGAGAGATAAAGGAGAACATGTCAGTGAAGTTTAATAGTGGTAGAGAGAAGGCTATAATTTCAAGGTAGCAGAGACCTTTCAGAGGTCATTCTGAGAGCATCATGAAGGTAAAGCCAAGTATGTTCCCTGATATAAGAATACTAACATAAGTTTTGTCACTCTAGGCAGATGACATATTCTATCACTGTAACTGTTTCTGCCTGTAGATCTACAGTTCCCTCTGCACGTATGAGCACAAAACCACATCAGTGGACAGATGATATGAGGAGGAAAACCCAGTAAGGCCACACTCATGTGGCTTACAACCATCCCTGAGTGTGCCAACCTTGAGCTCTCTGAGCCCAACCGCCATACACAGTCTCTGTCCTGTGAATGGGCCTTCCCTGTGGGTATAATCACTATCACTCACTTCCCATCTACTACAGCCTCAACATGTGCTCCCACAGTCATTGCTCCATGTGGAATCAGAGGCAGATAGAAGCTGTACATAGAGCTCTGAGGTTGGAGCTCACACAGAGCAACACGTAATGTCACACTCCATACCCTCTGTAGATCTGTTTTTCTTTCATCTGAGTCCCAAGTACAGGCCTTGTCTAAAATATGGACACATGCATCACAGTCAGAGTTAACTGAGGTGACGACTCAGGATGCTAGAGCAGCAGAAAGACTACTAAATCAATCATTCTAACGTCACATCCATGTGAACTCAACCGTGGTTGGAAACCCAAAGATGTGCACTGAGGTTTCATATAACACACAAAGCTTTGCTCTCGCCTGTGGAGAATGCTTTCTCTCGCTCCTTACTTGAGCACTTGGTCCAGGCATTCATTCAGGAAGCAGACATCATTCAAATAGAGATGCTGGAGCTTATGGAGTTTGGAGAAATGGAGAGTGAACTCTGTAAAACACCTCTCTTTAATCTCTCTGTTCCAACGCCACTCCAACAGCATGTATATTTTACTGAGAAGTTTCTGAAGATTTTTCATCTGTTCCAGGCCAGGGGCTACCAAGACAAGGGTTCTCAGATCCCAGCTTGTACACACTTCCAATTTGTGAATAAAGCCTGGCTCAATAAACTCCAGCAGGTCTAGGAGGTTAAAGGCAGGGATGGCCCCAAACTCCAGCTTCAGACAGATCATCTGGAGTACACTTTTTCTCTGCTTGGCCCACTGGTAAATATATTTTATGCATGGACATGGATGGCTGGACTTAAGAGAAAGGTTCATCAAAACAGTCAAGGCCTGTTTTTCCTCTCGTGTAGGATCATACAGCACTGGTTGGTTCTTGCTAATGACATCTGGAGAGCAGACACCGCCCTCTATTCCAGCCCACACATTCCAGAAGTTATGATAGGCATCTCATAAATAGAGCTCTTGTAGCTTCCACCTGCTGAGGGTCTAACAGAAAGGAGATTCAGATGTCAGAAGACCCAATTTATAATCTGTTTTGACCTCACATTTCCTGTTCCCTTACTTAAATCCATTCCTTGAGGGAAGAGGCAAGGACAGATGTAGTCATTGCATACTGACTACATCTGTTCTCAGGAGTGCGATACATACTACTGACCTTTTTCTTTGTTTCCCTTCTCCATGATGGTGGCAGGAGAAGCCCCTGATCACCTTGGGCCACATTCTGAACTGTGTAGTCACTTCCCTCTATGCCATCATAGGTTGAACCTTTTCTGCCATCAGCAAATCCAGACCACCCAACATAGCCTTCAAGGTCTCCAGGTGGAAAGTCTTCATCAGGGCTCCCACAGGAAGGCATGGGAAGGGCCAGGCTGCCACCATCATCTTCAGGGTTGTAGCTTGTTTGCTGGTGAATGCACGCCTGAACAGTGGTGTGAAGAGCTCTATGGGCAGGCTCTTCAGAGCAGAGATGGTCAAAGCTTCATCTTTCAGCAAACTTCTTCCTGCCAGCTGCAGGAGAGTGGTGAGGCCTGGAGGCTCATCCTGACCTTCAGGTAGGCGGATACCATGGAAACCTCCAGAGAAAGAAAAGTTTTCAGGCGAAACACTTTTAATTTCCCATTACACAGTATGTGTCTGTCATAATCACAGTTCCTTCAAGGGCCTCCTGAGGATTCATCAGCACCTACTCCAACCGATTTTCCCTGTTTTTCTGCCCAATCACATCCACTGCTCTGCTAAATCCTACTCTGTTGGGAAGGTGATAAAAGGAGGCTCAAACCTGAATCTCACACTTTTGCCGGCAACCATCTTCAAACATCTCTCATCAGTCTCAATAGCAAAGTTGAAGAAGCAACACTGTAACTATGCTTTGAATTCAGTCAATGGAACTAGTTAGAAGAAGAGCTTTAGGCACTGGATCCATGTTGATCTCTAGCCTGCTTTTTATGAGATTGAATACCGACAATTGCCAACTTAATACTTTCCTGAGATTCTATAGAATACAAAACTCTATAGAATTTTCATTTCTCACTCAATAAACCAATAATCACTCCAATTTTTTTTTAATTAAGGCATATTGTAGATTTGGGTAAAAATTGAGAGTGCTTGTCCAGTGGGCCTGAGGTCTTGAATGTTACACGTTAGCTCTCTATAACACAAGGCATTTCAACATCAGCTCTCAGTATTCAGGAGGCGGAGGCAAAAGGAACAGTGGTTTATGACAGGAACATATAGAGTTCTAAGCTAGCCTGGGCTAGATGAGATTTGCTATTTCAAAATAGTCCCACACCATCCAAAGAAACAAACAAAATACAATAATGACAAAATATCCAAAATGTTAAGATGAAATGAGACACTGGCTAGCCTGGGTAAAATGGGGTGTCCTGATGTAGTCAGTGACTTACCTGATCTGGACACTGCTATCAGGTCCTACCCCCAACAAGAACAGGCAGCAACTCCTAGCTCCAAGGCTTAGAGTGTCTTGTCTGACCATTCTGATCCTTCTATCCACCTGCACTGCTCTCAAGCCTTTCCTTTGTAACTCCAGCTCTCAGCCACAAGTTGCAAGTTGATTTGATGAAGTTCCCGACCTTTCGCCCTTTAATCCTATTTGGACTTTGTTTTTCAGCAGGTTTCTCTATGCTATAAAGCCCCTGCAGGACAGGCTCACCTCAAACTCACAGAGATCTGCCTGTTTCTGCCTCCTGGGTGCTGGGATTAAAGGTGTGCACCACCACACCTGGCTGTAAATTCTGCCACTGAGGACCCAGGGGTCAGGACGATCACTAGTTCTTTCCAGCCTGGGCTACTATGGTCATTTCCAATGCTAACTAGCCAAGACCCAAAAATGTATGCCAAAAAATCAGAAAGCGTGGGTTAACACTAACAAGGACCAAATAGTATTTCAGATGAAGTCAAAGCTGCATTTTTATTCAAAACCAGCCTCTGCTCAGTAGAAGGGACAGATATGAGAATTCCACGTGACATCTGAAGTCTAATGTCCCCAATAGAGACTGCCAAGCCTAGGTGAGATGTAGTGTCCGGAGGGGAGTGCAATATTTACCTTATCTGGACACTGCTATCAGGCTTTTAAACTCCAGCAGAGTGAACCAGTTACTCCAGGCTCCAAAGCTCCTAGCGCCTTGTCTGGCCTTCTGACCCTTATGTCCCATTTCCCTCACACCTTCCTCTGTAGCTCCTCCACCTCTCAGCAACAAGCTGCCACCTTATTGGATGATGAAGTCTCCACCCATTTAATACTATTTTAGCTTTGGCTTCTAACTTTTCTTTTTAGCTTTTGTAGTTTCTGCTTCAGGCTAACTGATTTGTTAACTGAAGTATGTCAACCCAGAAGATGTTTTTTGTTTGCTTGTTCTTCTGCTTAAAAGCTCACCCGGAAAAAGGCACAGTGCCACACTGGGATCCCCAAAACCAAGTATAGTCACCAAGACTTTCTGTTGGCGTAAACCCATGTCTGGGCAGTCTTCTCTCGTGTGTACCCCACAACATTTAAGACACAGTCAAAATCCAGGACTGCAGAAAGCAGCAAAGACCCTTGGAGTGACAACAGAGATGGTTGAGAGCCAAATCAATCCTTTAAAGGGTTTTGTTGTTGTTGTTGTTGTTTTCCTTTTCTTCTTTTTCACTTACACAATGTCTTATATGTCCAGGCTGGCCTGGTACATGGTAGGTAGCTAATGATGACCCTGAACACCTGTTCTTCCCTCCTGTACCCTACACTTCTAGACCAATCTCGAACTCACTGTATAGTGCGAGCTGGTTTTAAACTCATTACGAACCCCTGAGTTACCTTTCCAAATAACTCAAGTATTAGATGTAGTTGAGCAATAAAGCCTAGCTTTCCTTCTGCTATCCCTGGCCACATTGCATCATGGGAGACTGACTGATGCTGACTAGAAAGGGTCTTCTAGTGAGGCAGAGTGACTTAGGAAAGACAAATGACATCAAGCACACACTGATTTATCAGCACAGGGAACACTGAGGAGCAATCACAAGTGAATGGATGAAGAACATTCATCTATTCCCATTCTCCCTTTGACTGCAGTTGGAGTGGGGAGGACTCAAGCCATTGCCATCACTGGCTCAGTTCACAGTTCATATAAAGTGCTTTGAGCTCTGGTGTGGCTGCATGTTGACACTGTAGGCCCTTCTAATTCCTGGGGGAAAGGGATCCTACAGCCTGGTTCTTCTTTTTCCTACCAATTCCTGCAATAGTCAGTGAACCTTTATGTGTCACAAACTACTTGATGCTTTGACTTTGCCTAGTGTCTGTACATCTAAAGAAGCTAAGCAAGAAATAGGACTCTGGGGAAGATGATCACTCCTCACTCCAAATGGGGTGGACATCAGAATAGAGAGAAACAGGGAAAAGCACAGGAGCCTATCACAGAGGGCCTCTGAAAGACTCTATGCAGCAGTGTATCAAAATAGATGCTGAGACTCATAAACAAACTTTGGGCAGAGTGCAGGGAATCTTATGAAAGAAGGGTGAGACAGTAAGATCTAGAGAGGACAGGAGCTCCATAAGGATAGCAACAGAATGAACATATCTGGGCATAGGGGTCTTTTCTGAGACTGAAACTCTAACCAAGGACCATTCATGGATATAACCTAGAACCCCTGCTCAGATGTAGCCCATGGCAGCTCAGTATCCAAGTTGGTTCCCTAGTAAGGGGAACAAGGACTGTATCTGACATGAACTTAGTGGCTGGGTCTTTGACCACCTCCCCCCACCCCCCCCCAAGAGAGGAGCAGCCTTGACAGGCCACAGAGGAAGACAAATAAGCAGTCCTGATGAAACCTGATAGACTAGGGTCAGATGGTTGGGGAAGAGGACCTCCCCTATCAGTGCACTTGAAGAGGGGTATGGGAGGAGATGTGGAAAGAAGGAGGGTAATGGGAGAAAATGAGGGAGGGGGCTATAGCTGGGATACAAAGTGAATAATCTGTAATTAATATAAAAAAATTAATTAAAAAAGAATGTAGCTGAAGATAAGAGGTCATACAGGGTACACTCCTGAGGGAATAAATTTCATTTATGGCAGTGTAGTGTCCAAGTGGGTTACATAGTAATGGAAACAGGGACTGCCTCTGACATGAACTGATTGGCCTGCTCTTTGATCACCTCCCCCTGAGGGCGGAGCAGCCTTACCAGGACACAGAAGATGCAGCCATTCCTGATGTGATCTGATAGACTAAGATCAGAAGAAAGGAGAGGAGGACCTCCCTTATCAGTGGACTTGGGGAGGGGCATGCATGAAGAAGGGGGAGGGAGGGAGGGATCGGGAGGGGAAAAGGGAGGGACTTATGGGGATATACAAAGTGAATAAACTGTAATTAATAAAAATAAAAATTAAAAAAATATATAAATCAACTGAAATAAACTTTTCCTACTCTATAGTATAGATGATGGTCCATATGGCAAAATAAGTTAGGTATTAGTATTTGTTATTCATAAAAAAACCGACCTGTTTAGATATTTGTTTGTCTGGAGTGCTTTCATGCTACAAACATGGCCATCCTAAATGCAGACTGCCATATATTAAATTTGTTTGCTTTGGAGGAGATATTCTTAACTGCTGAGCCATCATCTCTCCAGCCTCAGAAGGGACATTTTTTAGGTTAGAGTTATAGGACTAATAATAATAATAATAACAACAACAATATCTGTTCTGTTTGTATTTTCTTGTTGTAACTGAACTTGAAACCCTGGAAATGTAATGAAAAATCTAGCACATACTCTGTACCACTTGGGCAATCATTAGTCCATCTTTGTTTCAGGAGTGTACCCTGTATGACCTCTTATTTAAGCTACATTCTTTAGAGACTCGTGTGTTTTATTGTGAATATAAGTTTTTTAGTGTGTATATATGTGCATTAGTATATATGTTCATTAGTTTGTCTTCATTCCATGTAACTTGTATAAATAAAGAAGCACCTGATTGCTAGAAAAACAGAGCCACAGAACAGAGCCAGCCTTGCTGCTAAAGAGTCAGATCCATAGAACAGTCAGCTGCAAAGATTCCACTGAGGATCAGGCCTGGCTTACTTCCTCCTCTCGAAGACTTCTTATCTCCTCTGTGGGCTGCACTGTCAGCAAAGACCCTCCTAACTCCTCTCCATGCTGGAGAAGGCCCCGCATAATATTAATAAAGAAATACCTCACAAAACAATGGAATTTAACATATAAATGATTTCTGTTTATTGAAGTCTTTTCTGTAGGTAGGAAACACTAAGGCACCCCAGTTATACAGGTTAAGAAGGTGAGGTCAAGAAATCTGTTCAATTATTTAAAGTCCTACATGTTGGATTTGAAATGAGGACAATTTCAGATCCAATGTTATTTATAGTTTATATATTTCTAAAAAATTACCGTTTCCTGTGAGGGTGTTTACACATACTGCTTCCCATGAGCAGCCAAACTGTGGCTTCACACTTGCTCTCGTGAAAATGACTGAGAGTTCTGGTTACACAAAGCTGTTCTAGCAATGTGAACTAATAATTTTGGTTATTTATCACTTACTAATTTTAATTTACTCTTACTTTTTACATTTTCCTTCTTACTTTTCAATTTAAAATATAAAATAATACATAAATTATAATGAATTTGTGCCAAGTAGAAATGTTTCTCCATGACTTATAAATGGAGCCTTGTTAAATTTTTCCTAATGCTTATTTAAAATCTATACTTATAAATGACTATTTTTACTAACTTAGTGGTAAATTACCATATAAATGCTATGGATGTAACATAGTTGGTAGAGTGATTGCCTTAAGGAACGTAGTCCTGGCTTTGATCCCCCAGCTCCTTACAAACAGATATGAAACAGCACAACTGTCATCCAGAAATTTGAGAAACTTGGAGACAGGATGAGTAGAAGTTTAGGTTAATATTTAGCTATATGACATTCAAGGCTAGACTGGGACACACAGGAGTACATACCACCAAAATAAATTAAACTTACTTTCTAAGCTGTGGCAACTTGGTGCACAGATTTAGAATTTTCCACATCACCACAGTCTTTTTGCAGCTTCTGGGTATTCTGATTGCTTTTTCTTTCTTTGAGTTACTACTGAAAAACCATTAACTACCACACAGGAGGGAAAGCATTTGCTCTGAGGGGAAAAAGTATTTGTGCTTTTCTCTGCACCATTAATATGCTTTAGCTGGAGAATTTTTGTGTCGCCTGGAAACTTAATATAATTATCTTTTATTCCTCCTTTGCTTAAAATTTTCATGTTAAAGTAGACGAAAATGGAATTTCTTTGCACTCAGTAAGTAGATTGTGTAATTTGATCCCTATTCTGTTATTATGGGGAAATATTTTAATTGATTGTACTGCCAATCAAATGGGTAAATCCCATTTTACACTATCATTTCACAACTTTGTGTATTGCTAAATTTTATTTGTTATTATATGGTGAAAAACATTGTATTTGTATTCATGAACAATATCTATCCTTGCTAGCATTAAAAAGATGAAAAACTGGTTTCATAATGAATTTCATAATGTTTTGGTTGGGTTTGTCTATAAGTTTTGTCATCTTAACAATTATGAAAAAATCAATATGGCAACCATCTTAGTTTAAAGTTTGTATTCTGAGCAAATATAAATTATAAATATAAATCTAGCAATATAACCTGTGCATAGTCCTAATTATATTTTCTACCAACTTTCTCCTTTCCACTTTTTTATTGCTCTATTGTTATAAAATATTTTAATTTGTCCTTCCTTCTCTGATATTTAAAACTAAGCATCATGAGAGGTCATAATAGGCTCAAGCTTATGCATTTGGCCTATCAACAACTTTAAAGTTCACTGTACAGGTTTTACTAGTGGTTAAGGATGCTTGGGTTTTATCAGTGTTTTTATCATTTTTATCACAATGAAAATATAATTTCTGGGGTCTTCATGGCATTTCTTTGGAATAAAAACAGGGAAAAGAAAGCCTGATTAAAAATTAAAAAGTGAAACTTTCTTCATATGCAGATGGCAATAACATGATAATGTACTGAAATATCTCAATACAGACTTACATTTAATCATTCAATCAATTTTACTCTAAAGACTACAAAAGAAGAGTATACATTTGTCAATGAGGACCTTAAAGAGATGAAATGACATTTAATGTTCACAGATAAGAACTTAATACTGCTTAAATCACTGTATTTTCTAAATCCATGTACATACTTATCATAGACATCTACTGTAGAACAAGACCACCCTATCTCATAGTGCATGCAAAAGTCCAGATGAACTATCAAGTTTAAAATGAACAAAATGAGTGAACTCAGGGATCCTGATATCAAAAGTAAGTATAAAGCTACAATCAGATGGTCGAGTTCTGAATAGAAATTATAATACAGATCAATAGAACAGGATTGAGAGTCAAGGACTAAAATCTTACAATTAATGTCCATTGATTTTTCAAGTAGGTAGGAGGGAAGTTC